AAATTAATTATTTACTGTCAGTATAACTTATCAGGGATAAAAATAAAAGTAACTTATGCTGATAGTAATCATGTAGTCACTAATGACTAGCTTCAACAGGTAATTCTCGAAGTAATATTGAGAAGCTGTGACTAATGGAGTTTAATCGTGTCGGGTGTGAGTCAGTTAATGACCGAAGACAAAGTAAGATGATCGGGCAGTAAAGTAAATTGGTTGAAATTTTAGATTAATACTGTTGGATGTCGGCTCAGTGGCCTAATGTCTAATTGTTAGCGTGAGACCGAATGTCCTGCGTGAAAGATAGTGGATGCTCGTAAATATCCATTACTCAAATGACTAAAAAAATGTTTACCATTCCAAAGTTTTCAGTGTCTCATCTGTCATGTAAGAATGTAGTTAAGCATTTGTAAAAATGTTTCACAGGAAAATATAAAATTATTAACGAACTAAAATGTTAAACTGAGAATAACCCCAATGTCATTCTGGAAGTAGAGCTAGTGTCATAAAATAATACATCAAGTTAGGACGGACGTGAACTTATCTCGACTTATAATTGATACTTCTTTTAATTTAGGGGATATGTGGCGATTGTGATGTTCTCAAAGTTCAAATCACGAACTGATCTTAGCTAGACCATCATTGAAAACCTGGAAGCACGAGATGACTGTTTCTTTCTAGTATAGGACTCTTGAGTATCCTCTGATTCGCATCCGGGTTCTTAGATTCTCAACATGACATCAAAGTAGGAAATAACAAGATAAGTCACTTACTAAATACGAGTTCAAATTATTGACTATAAATCAAATAGTTTGTACTGAAGTGTTACCATCCAGCTGAAGATTCTAACATCCTGAAAGAAACTGAACGTTCTAATCACATTAAACCACTACCGCATTTCATTTGATAAATCAGCCGGTACATAGCAGCAATTCATACATATTTAATAATGAAATGAATCATCCCCATTCTATTGTATAACTTTGCAATGATTAGTAACCGATAGTGAACTCGGATATTGGTGTACACATTTGTGTATTCATAATTAATTACTTGTCTGATTGTGTAAATGAATCATCATTAACAATGGACCTCTTATTCTCAAATTGTACTATACTATCTGTGTAGATAAAGTGACTTCAATAAACGTACAAATGTTTTAAATCATGAATGTGTATTTCGAGAAGTAGTAGAACATATAAGTGTGTGATGGATTTAAGGGTTATACTAAAATGCATCGAAGCAATAATGAAATCCTAATTCACCTTAATCACGGAAGAATGTACTGTGTTGATTACAGTATAACACATAGATTAGTCGCCATAATATGCATTTTAACTACTTTGTGGATGAGACCTCTGAATGAAAGACTTGAAGTTGGTACTCTAAGAGAACCGTCTTGGGTAGCCATGTAGTACCCCGACCCACACACAAATTCAGTGATTTATGTGGCGCCCATATATTTTGATGTCCTTGTGTACTTAAATATATAATCTGTTGCTTCATGGAAAAATGTCAAAACTAAGATAAAAACAAACTGAGTAAAATATTTTCTATTCATTCAAACCCATCTGTATTACACATAGATACAATTAGACATGTATAAATACATAGATCCTCCAGTGTTGAGAATTTTGCTAATGAAAAGATGAGTTACTCAAGTGCATTAGATGGTTTATTTTGTGTCAAAGATCTGTTCACAAACGTGTTTTAGACATTTTTCTTAAGGACGCTTTGATGAAACAGATAAACTGAAATCTCTGATTATTGTAGTACGGGCAAATATCCTAACATGAATGCTCAAATACAATTGGCAGAGGTTGAGAAAACAATAGCTAACAAATTAATTACATCGTCAAATTCATACAAACATTATCAACGGATGCATTCCCACTTCAATGGACTATTTTTGGATGAACATTATTTTAATAGCTACATTTTTCTATGAGAATGCGTTTGACAGTATGAACACCCATGAAGTTCCTGAGATCGCCAACGTTATCCGCAACTCATACGACGGACTACAGTGCAAAGTCGTGCATGGAGGATAGCTGACAGATGAATTCAAAGTAAGGGCTGGAGTCAGACAAGGCTGTCTACTCCCCGTTCCTCTTCTGGTGGTCAACTGGACTATGAAGACCGCGACATCTGAGGGAAAGCACGGAATACAATGGACAACTGAGAATGAGTTAGACGATTAGGACTTCGCAGATGACCTGGCCTTCTTATCCCATGCACATAAAAACAGTGTAGCAGCAGCCTCTGTATCAGTAGGTCTCAACATACACAAAGGAAAGAGAAACATCCTCAAATACAACACAGAGAACACCAAACCGATCACACTTGATGGGGAAACTGTGGAATCTTTCTCGTACTTAGGAAGCATCATTGATGTACAAGGAGGATCGGATGCAGACGTAAAAGTAAAAATTGGCAAAGCGTGGGCCGCATTCCCGCAATCGAAGAACATATGGAACTCAAAACAACTTTCAACCAATATCAAAGTCACAATTTTCAATACGAACGTCAAGACAGTTCTACTTCATGGAGCTGAAACTTGGAGAACTACAACAATCACCATCAAGAAGGTACAAGTATTTATAAATGGTTGTCTACGCAAGATACTCAACATCCATTGGCCGGATACCATTAGCAACAGCCTTCTCTGCGAGATAACAAACCAGCTTCCAACTGAAGAGGAAATTAAGAAAAGACGATGGAAATAGATAGGACATACATTACGCAAATCAAACTGCATTACGAGGCAACTTGGAATCCTGAAGGGAAGTGGAAAAGAGGAAGGCCAAAGAACACATTACATCGGAAAATAGAATCAGATATGAAAAGGACGAATAACAACTGGAAAGAATTGCCCAGGACAAGGTTGGATGAAAAGTGTTGGTTGGTGGTCTATGCTCGTTGATGAAGATTATTAGGCATAATTAAGTAAAGTAATGTTTTTTTCTAAGTGACCTCCTTCTAAATTATTCCTGATAATCTATACAAAACTTACAAAATATTCACTATATGAAATGTATGCAAAGATACAGAATTTCATTACACCAACAACAGGACAATTTTTATATAGAAAAAAAACTATCCAAGTTAATATAGAATACCACTTATGATCATTATTAAATAGAGAACTATACAAACATAACACATAAATACTGAAATCTTACACAATATGTAACTAATTGATATTCATTCAATTCTAACATGATTACAAGTATATCTTATTGTAGAGAGGCGCTAACTAACATAAAACTTAAGTTAATATATACAACCTTCTATGTTGATTACCTTCAAGTATCTAACTACAAAATATGCAATGATAAATAGAATTTCGTTTATTATTATTGTTTTTTTTTCTTTTAATTATCATCATTAGTATTATAGAAGGGTGTTGCTATGTTTCTTTTCTTTTTTTAAAAAAAAAATTCCTCCAGAGAAGTTCACAACAATAACAATAAGGAAAAACCAAAAAAAAAAACGAGAAAGGAATGTTAACAAGGAATAAAGACCGAGGTAATTGAGGAATACATAGGTATATATATATAGATCTATATAATCTTATTAATAATAAGATCTTTATAGATTGAATGCGATCATTAATCATTATTCCTGATCCGTAATGAATACACACACAATTGTTCTCTCTTTCCCCCCTTTCCTTTTAATTTAGATTAAGTAAATAATTTGTAGATAATATTTATAACTTCATTTTACATATACATTTTAACATAAGAAAATCTGTTGGAGATTGTTTGTTTTTACACAGAAAAGAAAGCAAACAAACGAACAGATAATTTTTTTTTGTTATTTTGTTGCTGTTGCCAATTCATCATCATCATCATCACAAATGATAGATTGAAAAATTTATTCATTAGAAACAAATATGTATTGAACCTGATCAGGAAATATATTGATAATAATACGAGGTTGTCAAAAGTAGTAATGCATGCAAGTGTACACCGAGAATAACATACATATCTATGTGTATATGCTCAACATATGAAAGTGGGGTTAACTTTCCGTTATGCTGAAGACGGTGTAATAGACATATATGTATATATCCGTATATGAAGAGGAACTTGTACAGTAAGATAATACTACTTCCAATAATAATAATAATGGGTACAAACGGTTGGTGGAGAAAAGAGAAACAAGATGAGAGAAAATCATAGTTAAGTAAATATTACAAAGATTAAAAAAAAAGAAAGAAAACTAAATGAATCGCCAACGAATTAAGTTTAAGGAGAGAAATACAAATTTCATTCTTTATTTTCTATTTTTTAAAATGTGATTTCAGTAGTAAATAGAGATTAACCAGTTATGATCAACAAATATCCAGAGTAGTAGTAGTATGGTATTGACTGATTAGTTGGTTTAGTTCGTTGAACTGAAATTCATTTTGTCAAGTTTAAGGCTTGACAACTGAGTATCATGATTGCCAATACTACTATTACTCTACTACTGATAATGTTGTACAGTAAATCTAGTAACATAATGTATATGAATAATATTTATTCAGATAGTGGGAAAACATATTTGTATTAATAAAATAAGTACAAATCATAAATGTTATTGTGTTTAATATAGTTGATAATAGTACACCAGGAGGAGGAAAAGTAAACGTATTCACTTGCATACATACACAAATTTTATGGAATACAATTTCCTTTAGAAGATTACACTTAACAAGAAGAGAATTTCAAACATTGGCATATATATGAATAAAACAGGCAAAATGCGTCAAAATCAACTAGGAAATGAAGAAGAGACCTTTGAATTCACAAAGAATATATAAAGAATAGAGATGTGAAGAATTAGCTCAACATGAGCTGAATTGTACTATAAGAAGTGTCGGAGGTAAGGCTTAGACAATCAGAAAATGGTAATAAAGAGACAAGCAGACAGTTCAGAGTATAATAATCATTATTGCTATTATTATACAAAATAGATTGGCTATTACTCTTCGGTGACATGACCTCGTAAGCTGCCTTGTACACGTTGCTTGAAGTGAAAAAAGGATGAAAAAAATAAACAAAACAATTATAATGATATTCATAAATTTTTTCAGGTATGAACCACAACAAGGTCCAGATTTCGACTTGCGATGAAATCAAATAAAATCAACATCTTAAGGATTTACACATTGATGAGTTACAATTACTGTGTATCAATCGAAAATCTAGAACTGTGACAAATGCAATAACAATTAACTGAGATGTCAAGTCACTTAGACTAGCAACCACATTAAAACTTGACAGATAGAATTCGATCAACGGTGAACAATCACAGAAGCATGACATTGACCATTATTCATTGATCAACCATTCGTAAGTACTTCAGTCACACAGGAGGCTCATCACACCTTACCTGTAATGTTTTAAACTGTGAAGCTATGTCACACAGGATCACATCCAAAAGACAGCATCAGTTTCCTCAACATTGCAAATATGTCTTAACCGTGAATGCAAACTGGAATAAGACCTAGATACAGGAATCCAAATGACTAGCCGGAATCATCTAACGCAGATTCTGTGAAGATAACTTCGGTATTAACCACAACGTGCCTACACTTAGTAATAACAACCCATGAGTTTTTCGCCTGCGATTCAATTAGTACCCTTTTATTATTTCTTTTTATTCTCAAAATACAAATCAATATTGAGGGGGCCGCACCAGAAGGATGTGTAGACAACAAAATACTAAGTGATGACAAATCAGGTAAACAGACTGAATTTTGAAGAATCCTAGTGATATTTTAATTGACTGAAATGGAGACAGGGGAACTAGATAGGCAAAAATAGGGGGGTATTTTAAGACGAGTGAGACTGATGTATCTTAAGACTTTCAGAACACAGCATTACCTCAGATGGCATCAAACAAATCAACATGTTCCAAATTATAAGGACTGTAAAGGATAATTAAAAACGTACTTCTTCCAATTCCTTTTTAGTTTGCTCTTCATGTATTCTCACATCTTCCATTGTCCAACCGTGCCATTTATCCATCCAACAGAATACTTGGCGATGAAAGTTAGCAAACAGACGTCGTTCTTGCTGTTATTTTATAGGAAAAAAGGATCAATACAAACTTAGTAGGATGAAGAACTGTGTGTTAAAGGAGACATTCAACTTAAAATCGCAGACTTGGTTTGAACTTCGACTAAAACCTATCCCAATGCTGGGAATGAATTCATATTAATCACTAGCTCAAATCTTAGCACCCCACCATTCTACTTAATAGGACTTTAAATCGATAATAAGATTGTATACAACTTGTCAATAGTCTTGCCAGTCAGTATACTAATCACGACAAAGGTAATAGGTAGTAATTGTTATAACTCGTCAGTTGAATGCTACTTGTTATATCTGGTCGGCGCCGATTTCTGTGTCGGAAACGATTATCACTTATACTCGGAACGAGGGACCTCTGCAATTCCTACGACGAGAAAGTAAGAACACAAAGACTACTATAAGCGAAGATTTATTAACCCTAAAACACGACGACGACCCTAGTCAAAAATACACTCAATTTATGTATTGATTGTACATCCATTTTGATTAATAATTAGGATGAAATCACATATATGAAAAACACTTAGAGTTATAACAAATCGCAGACTAAGGATAGTTCATGTTAATGGAATACAAGAATATCGCATATTGTACAGAATAAAAATATCATACGAGAATAGAAAACAAATGCTACATTGAGTAATCATTACATTGAAACAAACGGAAGTAATCTTGAATAAAACTCATAATGAGTAAATCAATCGGGTTTTGACTTTTCTTTCCATCATATCTGTAATATTTGACATTAAATGTTTATCTAATTTATTGAACACACGAACATTGGTACATAATGGCACCAAAATATATATGCGTCACATCGTATTCGCATGCAGGTTGGGATAGTATATGGCTACCTAAACCGAATTAGACGGTTTTCTTAGAGGGTCAATCTCAAGTCTTTCATTCAGAGGTCTCATCCACAAAGTAGTTAAACGATGTTGAGAGATGCGGTTCCATGGCTGCTAATAACCAGTAATACGTTCATACACCATTTATCCTGTCAGGATTGTGGAGTGCATGTGCAAAATTGGTTCGGAATCAGTGTTTCCCAACTGCTCATGATGGATGCTGCATACCCAACAACCAGGTTTGAGCTCTATATATTTGTTTTCAAACTTTTATAATTTCATAAGCAACATCGTTGTGGCAATAAGGTGGTAGTGAGTAGGACTTCCATGGTATTGTGTATATACGTGTTATCATATTCGAGGATTTCGAAAGGGATAGTGAACTCCAAACCTTCGGCCGTACCAGGGCATTTGGGGGAATACAATACTCAACTAATCATTGTTACACTTTTATTAACCTGATTATACGTGCACTTGGAATTAGTTAGTTGCTCAGACATTTTCTAACACATGTACATACCTCAACCAACCAATGATGGGATGATACGTACTGATTTAAGTGTAAATATGTAATCAAGTCATCAGTTACACTACTCAGATTACAAAGTCAAACTGTTGTTGTATCATATAAGAAATGGTAAAGTGTAAGAAAATCATGCGTCACATATAGCTGAAGTTAAATTTCAAAAAAACTATAGATCCAGGGAATGACTATACAGTGAAAACTTATCACTCCATGAATACATATAATCTATTATACACTAAATAGTGCATATCTAACTAAGAAGTATTTATCTCATTTCCTTGTATTAAGTACTAACTAACTAGTAACATTATTTCAATAATTATAATTCTCTCTTATTACAACCCAACTATTCCTATCGCTTGGTATTCTCGGACACCAAATCACTCGACAAGTTCCCAAATCAGAACATGATTGAACAGGAAAGAGATTCATATCCCAAATAAAAAGGTTAGATGGAAGTAAGAAGCACAATAGGAAAAACGTTAGTATAATTATAGTTTTTGCATGAGAAGATTCTAGAATGTTCTCCAAGTATCGACCAGAGTTGAGTGGATAAGAATTAGCCAATCAGCGTGCACCAAAGCAATCGTGTATTGAGCATATTTTAGTCCAAACTATGTCCCGCTAACAGTTACAATGTCTAATTTACGACCACAGTATTCAGCATTGATCGAGATTTTTTAAAGACTACTACCTAAAACTGTCATAATGAATTGTCTAAATTGAAATAAACAATGCAGAATTTGAACATGTGACCCAGTAACTAAAAGTTAACTGCTACTATAATTGTAAAACATTACCGTTTTGATTATGATTAAACATTGAAAATATTGCAAATAAATTAAACAACTAGGAAGTTATTTAGAGGTTAATTATTTCATATAGTGTAAAACAATAAACAATACATGGAACAATTGAGACAAAAACAATCAAATATGTTTAGTAAAGTAAAAAAAAGAAACAAAGATTAATTCAGAATTATATAAATTCATGTTATTTGACTAGTTTCTGATTAAGTCCCCATCTGGTACGACTGAGGGTGAGAAGAGTCAGCTCTTTCTCCAAATGCTTTCACATAGCCACGCGTATACAACCACTGACAGGGAAGTCCTACTCACTACCTTCTCGTGGTACGGGTTTTGTTTACGAAAATGACAGAGCGAAAAGTGAATGTCCGGCGCTTTGACCAGGTTGGTGGACACGGAGAGTACACCTAGGTGAGTTGGTAACCCTCGTTTCAAACTAATTGTGCACAAATGCTCCAGGATCATGAACGAACAAACGGCGTATGAACCAATCGTTGGTCACCGGATACCATGAGGCTGAATCTCTTGACGTTGCTACACTACTTTATGAATCAGACCTTTAGGTCGAAGGCTCTAGGTGTGGCCCCAAAGAAAACCACCTGATTCGGTTTGGGCACCCCAGAAGTATCTCAAGCCACACACAAATGAAGTAACTTGTGTGGCGCCTCTTTGTACCAATATTTATGTGCTCGAATAAACAAATAAAATGATGTCATCAGTTGCTTACAACCTATAATATATTATAGATATTGACATACTTATAAATACAGGGGTGATTTGAGATGCATTTGTATAACATGATGTAGTGAAGATTCCAATAGAATTAATAAGGTCATAAAAAATCTTTTATTTCAGGTAAATAAATAAAGCGTGTAAAGGAAAGTTTCATAACATTGAACCAATGTTTAGAGTTAACAAACTAGATGATTGAGTAGTGAAACAACTGAGAACAGATTAATGGTAATGAAGATATGAATTGAAGAAAAATGGCAATGATGTAATCCAACTTCAGAAAGAGTTGAAATAATGAATGACGCAATAAAAAGGATGTAATGTTACCAGGGCAAAGAAAGATTTATCACTTCTTTCTGGACACATAGACCAAGTTTTAGACGATTAATCTCTGTAGCTCTAGCAAATTGTTGCTAATCACCTTGAAAAACTTCAGTCTATCTACTTGACGTCCTGTGCCAAGGTGTCTAGAGATGGCACTGTTGAATGCTTTTAATACACTTGGTCTAAGACTTTCTGGAATATGTTATTTGGATCGGACGTAGGCTCTCTTTTCTGTTCTACCGATGTAACTGCTTCGGCAGATACATATGAATTTGTATATACAGTTGGTGGTAACATGAAAGGGATACCTATCGACCTTTAATTGTGTTAAAGAACATGTTATTTCGGACAATAGTTTAGTTGCAGGATAAGCTCTAATCATTGCAGTCTTTAGTCGTTTTCATATTCATTAGTTCCTCTTCTAGCGTATCCACAGTAAATATTCTTTCTGTTCTATGAAATAATGTTTTAACCAGTGCGTTTTTGTAACGGAGTGGACAAAAGCTATTGCAAATGTGATAAATCCCATTCTGCTTTTTGATAGACTGAATTGATGGACTGTGCCATCCTTTCTTTGTTTTAGTGTGATGTCGAGAAAATGGAACGTGGTTCACATTTTAATGCTCCATAGTAAAATGGATACTTTTATGAATTTCGTTGAAAAGTTTCAGCAGATTTGTTGTGTGTTGTTGATTATTACACATGATGAAGGTGTTGTAAACATACCTCGAATAATAAACCATTTCATCAATCGATGTTTTGAGCTTGGTTCTTTCGAGATTAGTATCAATCTTTGTTTTTGCTCTCTTCAAGATAATAAAGGGAACTATGTTTATGAGATTTTTGTTTGTCTGTTTTTTGTGCATCATTCTATCATTTGCTCCGTGTTTTAATACACATTCAATAGAATAATATTATACTCAAATTTGTAATAAACCGTTTTGACTTCAGTTTACTAACTAATGAAAAGTGTTGAAACGGAGGGGTACTGTACTGTAGAGAAAAACTACTTATTGATTTATCTATGTCATATGTCAATTTTGATAATATAATAAAGCAGCAAAAAGTGTGGGTAACATAAATTGTGAAGAAACTGAAGTGGGAATGAGGCTCTTAAGTCAATAAAGTAACGAGAATAGTATTTAATAGGAGATGGAGTTTAGTTGAAAATACAGCCAAGGAAAAACTTCTTTTAGTTAACGAAAGAGATTAAAAGAAGACTATAGCAGAATACCTTTTGTTTCCTATTCCGAGCCATATTTAATGACTTAAGTTATTGAGTTATATTGTCTTTGAAAACCCAATCAAAGAGTTATGATGAACACACAGATTTCAGTCCCGTACAACAATAACATTTCAAAAGTTGACTATCTCTATGTATTTCTTAACCAGTACCAACATAAGCAAAAAATACGCGATGTGGAAGCCAGTGAAGTTAGTTTTTTAGCATGGTGACATAGTTACTTTGCTAGAATACACAGTTGGACCTCGGTATTACTAATACAGAGATACAAATATAGAGCCAAAAACCAAATCAATCGGAGATACAACCAAAATAAAGAAGTAAACAATAACATGTTAAAGGTTCACAATAACCAAACAACATCGAAGTCTACAGGACAAGCTGTGAGCCATATGTAGAGAAATTCGAACAATTCACTTCTACCTAAGGTTTGTGTTGATGATGTCGTTCAGAATAACGATGAAATCTCTCCGACTAAACCATCCAACTCAAAGAACAAAACTCCATCACAGTTGATTCTTAATCGCCATATGTATGAATCATGAGATTTCAATACTTCCCTGTTTGACTGTGTTCGTATCTAATCTATAAGTGTAAACTGACAGTTATATCATTATAATACAGCGTTGATTCATAACCAAATACTAATTACTATGATAAAAGTGCTGATTAATGGTCGTCGAAAGATGCCAACAACCTACGATTTTCTTGATTAATTAACTCTCACCTATGTAAATCAGGATATATATTTTTACACACACACATATATATATACTGGAGATTATCTGATTAGAGCTGATTGCTGCTTACTCACAGTACTCTCTTCACAGTATTCAAAATAATTACAATGAACTAACTTATGAACTAGAAGTAGGCAAAACAAGTACACATGATTAGCACACTTTTTTAAAAACTTAATTGAAGCAAAAGTGACCGAATATGTCAATCACATGTGGTTTATCGTTAAATCAATTCATATATATATATATATATAACTATCAAGTGACCATTAAAAATCGGTCGTTCAAAAGTGTAGCATGTGTCGTAAACATATGAATTTCAACTACAGAAGAATTATTATTGCTGTTATCATGAACCACTTTCACACTTTTGCTTATCCTTAAAAAAAAAAAGAATAGTGCTTACATTAGCAAACTGAAACCATCTATGATTCGAAATCATTTTTAGGAATTTAAGTATTTCCATAGGTTTCATCATTTAAACCACTTTCATGACATATATATGGAAATTCACTAATCAAACATGAATACATTACAGAATATACATCTTTTGCAGCTTTCAGTAGAAAAAACAGCACAGTAATAAATAAAAATATATCATAATATTATTTAGGTATGTATGTATAGATTAATATACATAGGATAGAACCATATTGGTCCTGTGAGGTCAAGTAATATTATCTGACTATATTTTGGTTAGTATACTGAGCGGCAGTTCGTTCTGTCCTACTTTATGTCTGAGAAACGTGGACATTAAGAGTATAGGATACTCGTAAGTTACTAGTACTTGACCACAGATGCCTTAAAAATATTACTCGCATCTGCTGGGATCATCGGGTAAGTTATAGTGAGGTTAGATGCAGGGTATTAGGGAATGATGGTAAATCAATTGTTGAGGTTGTAAATTTTCATCGACTAAGATGGTTGCGTATGGCTGAACACCGATTACCACGATGCGCAATGCTGACTAGTGTTGGAGATGATTGGAAGAAAGTTAGGGGCGACCAAACCAAAAACGTGGCATCAATGCTTGACGTCACTAACTTCTAGTCTGAGCCATGTTGGTAGATGCAGACTAATTGATTGAGGTCCGCATGACTATCGTAACCAATGGTTGGAGACTCTTGGTGACGGCCCAGAATTGATCACAATGGCATAAGTGTATACACTTTGTCTTTCCTTATACTATGAGATTAAAATTGCTTTATATCTTTCTTTCTACCAACTAATTCCTTCTTCCTTATATGCAATCTATCTTTTATATATTACCACCATTGAATTGACTGCTTCTATAAATCCGGTGATCATCTTGCTGTGGTAATGAGATATGGCAACTTGGACCGATGCACATATGTGCCTGATCCTACGTTGTAGCTGACTGATTGATTTTCGTCAGTTACAAACAACGTGGAATGCGGGAACATATACAAGCTTCGGCCCACGTTACCACACTATATGACCGCAATGAGATCAATTTATTTTTAAAAATGCCAGAGTAGTACAAGTAATAACAGTATCAGTAGTACCAGAAACAACTAGACATAGACAGTATGATGATTTAGGAAGAAAGGGTGAGTTCGTAAGATAAAAAGCAATAGATAGCGTTAAAATTAAGATTTAAGGGAGTGAATGCGTCTGTGCCATCGTGAATGATTCTAAGTCATATCGCCTGACACCGCCAATTACTGGTTACCATAACTACGAAGAAACCAATCTGCTAAACTGTACCTACCAGGGCATACCTAATACATATCTCAATAGATAAACTCATTATACAATAGAGCAAAAGTAGATGAAACAGGGTTCAAACATGTAGCCAATTGGTGGGAAATCGTGTTTTCTATAGTAATAAACCATTAACATTACGGTAGTGTCTAGACTTTTTGACATTATTCACTTTAGCGAAAGATTTTCGATAAGAAATATACACACATAAAAAACTGTTACATAATGTGGGAAGTTTGTCTTAAATGTTCGAGTGTCAAATAACAAGCACTTAGACAGAAGACAACAAGTGGAAGGAAAATTATTTTTAAGAAGTGATAGATGCTGGGTTCATATTGGTTGGATCAACTTATTTATATATTTATGTCTACTTAAACACACAAACGTCGGTACATATATATATATATATATATATATATATATATATATATATATATATATATATATATATGAGCCACACTTCGCCATCCGAGCTGGAATATTACCCGGTCACCCGAATCGCAGCAGATGGTCTTCTTAGGGGGCTACACCCCGAGCCTTTGACATAGGGGTCTGATCCACAAGGCAGTGGCGCAAGTTACGAGATGCAGTTACATGGTAGCCGGTGACCAACAAGAGGTTCATACGCCGTTTGTTCCTTCAGGATCCTGGAGCCCGGGTTCACCACTGGTTTGGAACCAGAGTTTTTCACCACCCCCAGCGTAGACCAGCTAAATAACTATGGCGGCTTGAATTCTATACTCGTTAAATGAGCTACATTAAGCTACAATTTATTTTTGTTAGTACGACAGGTCCAGATCGGGCTTAAATCAGCAAGCGTTCATTAGTCTATTTTCAACCAAATGGTATGGACGGATTGTCGTGATGCTAGGAAATTTCCATGTAAATTCTATATAAACTCTAATATATTTTAACTACTCTATCTTCACAAAAGTTAAGTATAGGGGCCCAGGAATACTCGACAGTAAAATAATAAAATAGTTTTAAATGACCATGTCCTAAATCGAATGATAGAGTATTAACATACAGAAATGAAGAAAGCTCATATGTTGTACCGATATGCATATCACTCCAAAATACTATGTTGTCGATAAGTTAGATTTACATATATGGAAATAATAATTTATGGGAGTAATTAAAATTATAGGTAAACAAAAGATCCAACATACCCGTTGAATCATTTTCTCTATACGTCCTTGCATTCCCCACATTTTGAATTCACATGAAACAAGTTTGTATGCACACATAATCGGTCCTTTGTAACCATTCTGTAAATGAAGAGTAGAATAGAGACATCTAGACAGAATTTGACAGGTCATTAAATGAAAAAACAAACCGATTGGTTTCTATTTGATTAAACTAATGTTATGCAATAAAATAATGGTTAGCTTCATACTTTCTAGCCAGCCAGAAATTCGATAGTACTGTATACTTTATCTAAAATACTATTTGATAATTTAGTTAAAATTAAGAATTTAGGTAACTCAATCAAACCTTATAGTTGTTGAAGAACATTCAGGAAAAAAATCACATGACCCCACTTTATTATTCATGTACAAAAATGTTTCTAGTCTAGTCATTAGTAGTTAGTACAAGGCAATCCTAACATCACGCAGTGACATGATGGTTGATGATGTTTAAGCTTTCGGTGATAAATAGAGAATAGTCCTAAATATTATCAAGTAAACATTATCCTTAACGTGTTATTTTCCTCACTTTTGATACTGGTAGCCAATTATTTGTTTTATTAAAATACATTAATATTGGTACAAAGGAGAACCGAAATAAATATGAGATACAGAATAAGAACGTGAGACTGAAGAGTCATGAAGAAAAGTGACGATTTAAAAAAAGCAATAAATTGGTAAATATGAATGAACAAGAGCAGTGAATAATGAGATAAGCAGGTCAGGTATAAAAAATACAATTACAAACATTCCTTTTTTTTCACTTTTAAAAGGAAGTCAACAAAAATTACAACAGGATGACCAATGGTTTATGCTTTGAGCCATGTCTGGTAACATATTAAGCCAGTGAGTTGTGCTATCTGTTTGACATCAAATAGAGACCGACAAATGCCGGCTCTATACAACTTTGTTTCATAGCGCAGGTTATAAACTAAACACTTCTCTTTTTCAACCAGTATCAGCGTCGGCGATAAAATGCAAGATATGGAAGTTGCTCGAATGATATTTATAAAACATGCTCAAGCCAATGAATTCGGCCTTTAAATATGGTGACACTAATTGAATTATTGTCACTGTTTGAGCACACAATCCCTAATCTCCGCATGAATAGCAAATGTGATCATTTCGTTTGAAAGTGATGGAATAATCCGAAATTTACCATATCGGTGTAGCCAGATGAAACTGACAAGACGGATAGTTGAGATAATAGTAGTATCAGTGATAATGAGAAAGATCAAACTTTGTAGAATATAGTTTAAGATGAAAGAAATAATAGGAAGTACAAAATAATGTTGGTGGTTGCTTTTCAGTGTTCCCGAGGGCCATTGTCATTGGGACATTGTAAGGCATGCTGCTATTGCTAACATTAACGAGTTTGACTGTCGTGTAAGCGGAATAGGTCAACTTTGGCCTGTTCGTGCTATGCATAATTGATTCACGCGATCATTGATACACGTGGTGTGAGTGTGTATATGAATGGTGCGAATGGTCCACCAGGGTGCTTGGTACCTGTGTGGTTGCGCCACAGGATTGAGCTGTACTATTCAGATTGTAGCGTTAAAGCCTGTACGGTGTCTGGTTCCCCTGCTAAACGGGGTTGAGCTGTACTGTTTGGGTTTTTACGTGAAAGTCCGAATGGTGTGTGGTTTTCCTGAAAACCAATGTAAAATTACCCTGGCCCACAAGGGTATATTATATAATAATATATAACAAAATAATGTTGAGACCTATGACTTAGAAAATAAGAAGGGAGTGGATCTGCACCACTGTGACCGATTCTGATTTATCTCATCGAAAGTCTCCAACCAATGATCGTGGTCACATCACATGGATCTCAGACTCAAAACTAAGTCGAACAGTTAGTGATTTCACGGATTTGTGTCAAATCTTAGTTTGGCCACTTGAAAACAAGTTACATCAACATCCAACACTGGATAAGAAACTTAAGAGAAGATCGAGGAGATACAACACATATCGATGACATCACTTCATAACGTCCTAATCAAGGCTATCTGTTATTTGATTTGCATCAAACTATGCATTCTATAAGCCTAAGAAACCTATCGTAATACAACTCAAAGGAAGTTATACATATATGTAAAGACAAACAGGTTATTATCTTAAAGTAGAGCTGTAACTAATTGATTTAAGCATACGATTACCACTTTTTGAAAAGTAGTTCAAGTCACCTAATTTATGGTAAAAGTTTATTTAGAAAGGAAATATACTACCGTTATCATGTTCATCCAGGGTGGAAATATATAAGAAAGTGAATAATAATAATAATAATAATAATAATAATAATAATAATAATAATAATAATAATAATGATAATAACAGTAATAATAATAATAATAATAATAATAGTGAGGACTTGATACATATTGAAATATACAAATGTGTATGACCTTGTTTTTTTCATATTTTGACCTATTAAGGTTGAAACACAACAGGATTTGACAATGAGAGAGAGAAAACAATATAAATGAATAAGAATGAACATATTGAAATGATAGTCATTAATAATAACAATCATTATTGTTATAGTAGAATGGATAGTTCAAAGATAAATAACTATACAATAATAGATAAAGATTAGCTTTAAAAAAAAACAATTGAAAAAGTTTAATTTATTTTTAAAAGTATGTTTAGAAAACAATATTCATATGAAACATTACCATAAGTGGATATTTTGTAGTAAGTGAAAAGAAGTTATTGACAAAATCTATGACGATAAATGGTATGTCAGTCAATCAGTCGGTCTTGAGTTGTGTTAGAAGTACGAAGGTGGTTATCACTTCCCGGTTGCCCACACCATGGAAGAGTTCTTCTAAAGGTACCTTGAAAAGGAAATTGGGTTGTGGGTCGTCTTAGTGACCCGAGAGCGTGATCACAGTGCCCAAGGGACAACTGCTTGAGGTCGGTCACACACAACCTTTCTATGAGTAATCTTTGTGTTAGCTCCGAACTTGTTTAGACCTTACCGCCGGAGACAGATATCTGTGGGATAAGGTGAGGTGTGCAATTTAGGGTCGATGTTTTCTAACCCCACACCTCCTTGTAGGAAGACAGCATTGCTGTTATGCTGGTTGCCTGAAGGAAACACCTTACAGCCGTCACACCTCTGTACAGTCAGCAGTACGACTTCGCCTTCGGACCTTGGGTTTGCTGCTTTTAGTCTTACCGTTCTTCAACCGACCTGTCTGGCATGGTAGGACCTTGAGGAACGGTTGTTCCAGCCAGTATAGCTCGATTGGTTCAACACGAGAGGCAAGCCCGACCACCACGTCAAGGTAGCAACAACGGTCGGGATAAATGGTATGGTGTTATTGACATAAATGGTATGTCAATAATACCAGGAAATATCAAGGTAGAGCTTGACAAAGTTATCATATCACATTGTCACGATGAGAAGAATATGATCCGATGGATTGTGTAAAACAGATGGAAATAATTTATTAGTAATCAAAATGCTTCAGTCTGGGCACCCGGACAGTATCACGGCCCACACACAAATCAAGTGACTTGTGTGGTGCGCATGTATTTGATGCTCCTTTGTACCAATAATCATGTGTTCAAATAAATAAATAAAGTGAGAATAACTGAACACTAGAGAATATAGCTTGAAATGATAGAGTGGAAAGGTATATATGAAGGGACAGTAGAACATAAGATCTAGAAGATGAAAAATGATTCAGAGTGATGCCATTCAAAGTTTCCAACCAATGATTCCGCTTAGTATGTGTACAACATAAACTTGGATGATTATTTTACAACAAACCAAATAATACCAAAAAGTAAGATAATAAGGTTTACTGTAATTTACAATATTTTAGTTTCAAAGTAAGAACAATGAGAGACACATTAATACACAAAAATACAGACCCGAAAATGGAGCGGTTGGTTAATGTTTACAGCACTAGGTTTTTAACCAACAAGTCTCATATCTCAAACTCGCATTCAATTTGAGTAACTGGTTAGTATTGTTCTCCCTAGCTAGCTACCAGACACATAAACTTAGCTAGTAGGCTTTGATTCCTATTATTTACGATTGTTATGCAACATTAATCTGATTGAAATAAAGCAATTCACAAATGATTACTATCCTAGATGAATTAGCTTGACTAAGTTGGTCTACACCACCAAGGAAAAAGAACGCACTGTTTTGATCTTAATAGAAAGTGGAGCCTTCAACTAAAGTTTGACCGGACATTATGCGACCATAATTTCTCCAGTAAATATTTTTTTCAGATGGATGCTGATGAAGTAAAACAAATTGTAAGATAAACTACAAATAGTTACAAAACTTATCTCATCAGCTACAATACAGCGCAGCAGTTTAGTGATTAAAGTACCTATCCGTTAATTACTAAATATAAGGCAACTAATCTTATTAGTAAGCTTCGATAGAACAACTACATATCCTCATTGTTCTGTCAAAACTGGCTGATAAGTCGGGGATCTGAACTTAGCTTGAGCTGTTAGATAATGGTGCACCAGCACTTACACAACTAATGTAGCCCAAATCAGATCACATGAACCTATGTACTAGGTTACTAAGTTAACAAATAGTATTGTATCAACTACAAATTGGTTGTAAAATGAATGTCGTCATGGAAGGAGACATGATTAAATAACTTACAGCAATACAAGATAACTGGTAATCTTAGCATCGTCTCTCCACGTCTTTACAGAATGAAATAGTCAGAAATTTCACCTAGATATAACAACGGAGACTCAACACATCATCACAGCCTGTGCATTACATAAATGAAATCAACGTAGAACGTGATCAAAAAAGAAACTAAAGGCGGATAATGTAGAACACTGAATTTTTGAACAATCACAGCTACATATGTATACACATATGTACAAAGTAACAGAAAGATTCTACAGATAAATTACCTCCCACCATTTTGGCTTTAAGGGCCCACGACCAGTTTTTTCAGAGCGAAAAGTTGTAGGATCTTCATTAGGGTTATAATCTTTGTCTGCCTGAGAAATATCACCAATATCTATGTAGATCACTTCAACTTCCGCCCATTTTTCCGGACTTAACTGATGAGCCTAATAACCGAAAAGATACATGGGAATTAATGTATCCAATACGTCACCATGGTACTAAAAATATCACAAAAGTTATTTCTGAGAAATTTTAACTTTGGTTATCAAAAATAATGCTAGCTCCAATCATTATGACTAACACGATTAAAAGCATTAGTGTCACATAATGAATTGAAGTGATGATTGACGAGTTAACAATAATAATAATGCAAGATCTGATAGTTTCGCTGAACTTCAAGAGTATTAAAACAACAAATATCTTCAGTGAGATTATAATTTATGGACAATCTTTGAGCGATGCTAAAGTGGCCTTGAGAACGCCTACCTACATACTAGGGCTAAGTCAAGGTTATAAACAGATGTGAGGAATTAGAATTATGATTTAAAGTTGATGGTTAGGGTTAGGAATTAGATTTAGGGTTTTCATCACGAACTGACATCAGCTAAAATGCCAAAACGCCATTTAGCCAAACAGATGAAGAATTTTGCGCTGAAATCCAAGATCTCATTGGTTCGTTCACAAATCATAATCTTGCCACGTCTTCCAGTTGAGAAATGTGGTAAGTGAACTTAGTGGAAATTTGTCTAAAGTTTACGCTGATATATTTACTTGTCCGAATTCCCTATCTAGAGACGTAAATTCACTATATACGAGCTTCATAGTGTTATTACAGATACACAGAACATTCTTGACTTCGAACACAATAAAAACCGGTTTACGTAATTACATCTTCACACCACAAAAACCTGTCTATTTAATAATCATGTAAACTGCATATGGTTTTTGCACAATACTGCTACATACTTCGCACAGAATAGGGGAGGTGATCAAATTAGTTTGGAAATAGTTTTACAGAATTTCACAACACTGAGTTTAATCAAATAGTAAAAGCGCGGACAACGTAATATGACAAGGTATCTTAATTTACTAGTCCAAACAAAAACCAATAAAATCCAATGTCTATACAGTGAAGTTAGCTTAGATGAAGATAAATTTCACTGAATATCTATGCTACTTGTGAACGTTTATGACACTTTTACTAAAATACTAGTGAAACATTCAGCACGGATGGTATTTCGGACTAAATGTTCTTAATAACATGTAACTTAGCAGAGGTGAAACAACGGAGATTATTACCAAAGCCATATACATATTTATATTCATTGGCAAGTGATTGAAACCCCACTAGTGATGGTGATAAGTTTTAAAATCTTAAGGAGTAAAGAGTGGTCTTGATGGAAAGATAGAATAAAAACAATGCGGAGCGGTAAAACCATAGATTGTGGAGGATCATTAAGTGACACTAAAGCGACCTTGAGACAACTCACCTATTTACCAGTATCAAGTGACGGTTATGAATTGGTATGAGTAATTAGGATTTAGAGGTAGAATTTAAGGTTAAGAATTGAATTAGAGAATTCCATGACGAACTGATATCAGCTTTAGTGCCAAAATGCTATTTAAATATATGGATGAATCTCGCGCCGAAATTCAAAACCTATCCATAATTTAATCGGTTAGTCCATAAAGTAGTCTTGCCTGAAAGGTTTTTTTATCAGTGATTCTAACATTAAGGGGAAAATTGGCTCAACAGCTTTTGTCTAGACGGTTATACATTGCAAGCCACTGTTGGTATAGTAATAATAGTAGTTACCAATAATAATGGTTGAGCATTAAAGTGAAGATTCAAGTACTGTCAAACTTAAATGTCCGTAGTAGAAAGGGAAAACAGCCCAACAAAGACAAGTGTAAGTGTGGGAAGGGAAAGACTGTTTGAAAATGTCAATCAGTTTTCATTAAACACTGGGGTATGACGAGTCGATCATAGGAAAATAGAAATTATATAAAATCGTTTCGGGTTGGACAAACCACTAAAAAAAGCTGAGAAGTACACACTGTAAACTTACATTTTCTATATTTACTAAGGAGTCCACGTGAAGAGATTCAATTGTTACACTAAACTTTTCCATCATGTAATTATTCTGTGGATGTTATAGCATTTGAAGTAAACTACTCACTGTGATAACAGTTCGACAGTAGGGATAAGCATTCCACGCATATTCGTTGAAAACGAATGCACTTTCAGGGGCGATAACACGAACAAACCCTGGTACCTTGTGCGCAAGATGGTAGTATTTATGGGTGTACTGCCCAGTGCTGAACCTTGGGTCTCCTTTCAATAAAGGGCGATCAGGCTTATACGTTGTTTGATCGAACGGCTCGTTGACCAATATTTGCACGCCATCACCACCACCTGTCTCTCCTTTGGAAGCTTCAGCAACGGAATACAGTTGACCAACTTGATATTCTTCAACTGTCATAGGTAAAATTACACGACTATTATAAGAGTAAATAATGTGCGATTGTCAGAAATGTCATACAACTAAAGAAACAACTAAAGAAAGAACTCACTATTCCTTAACAATCATCTTTGACGGACGAAAACTCGAATGGGGCGGCGTAGCGCACAGCTTTGAAGATGTTGAAAATCACAAAGCATAATATCTAAAATCTATTTCCAATAATTGTAAAGTAATTCTCTGGATGGATCGCCTTTTTTGCACCCACTTCTTGCCGCTGCGGTACAGTTAGAGGGCTTTAATATTAATTTCTCTGGTTGTGTTAAAATTACACTAGCAATCTATTACATTTACGCTCACCACTATATCTGAGGAATTTTAGTGATTATACCGTTCATTCACAATGTTTTACGTCATAATTAAACTTTAATTCTAACTTGCCGTCGGCGTTCGAACTTCCTTCAAACTAAGCTATGTGTAATATTGAAGAAAATCTATATCCTTTAATATTTTTTCTACTAAGCTTCTGTGTGTCGAGTTTTCCCTTGAATCTGTCAGTTGACGCCGCGCCACCCAGTAGTAGGCCCTGTGAGTTATTGACTCGGTGGGCAAACCCATATACGTTACGTGTTTTGTTCATTTTTTGGCTTTTCATGCGCTCCTGTTTTGTCTTTAGATGGGTGGATATATACTCAACGTTGTCATAATGCAGGCCAGAATAACGGCCATGTTTTCACCCACGTAGTCAACGAATTTGTCATATTATGATATAATTGCTATTAAAAACTAGAATGTTCTGTTGACTTTGCTATGGCTGTAAGTTTTATTTACCAAGTCAGACTGCGTTGCGTTGGACATGCATCACCTGATGGAATGATATCCTAAGTCATGGAAATTTTAGTAAAGGTCGTGGTTGTTTAAGAAGTAAACCGTCAATCAATGTTGTCATTAAAAAAGGTTTTTTGTGCTGTAAACTATGTTTTGACACATAAGTGACTCTTGTCTTCAGTCTCGAATCTATCGTTTTTCCTTTGTTATGTAGGTCTTATTGGCCTATAATTTGTTTCTTGAGATTTGTGGGCCTAATTATCTGTAGTCAACTATTTTCCAACAAATGTCTGTTCAAATGAAACAATAACTATAACACCTTTTTAGTTTAGGAATTGTGTAGGGGACCAAATTAAGGACATCCAAATCAACAACGACGAACTGATGATATCCTTCGACGTGACAGCACTATTCATCTCAATTGAACCAAAATTAGCAAAAGAAACTATATCCCTGCTGCTCAACAACGACACAAACCTCGCCAAATACACGAAGCTTCAAATCCAAAGTCTACAGGAACTCATCAATTTATGCCTGAAAACATACTTTCAATTCAACAACAAAATCTACGAACAAACGAAAGGGACACCAATGGGATCACCAATATCAGGATTGATCGCAGAGGCAGTGATGCAAAGACTAGAAGCCGCGATATTACCAGTGACCAAACCAAAAATTTGGATTCGCTATGTAGACGACACCTTCGTCATCGTCAAAAAGAATGAACTAGAAAACACTTACAACCTGATCGACAACGTCTTCGATGACATCAAGTTCACCATGGAACAAGAGTCAAACAACCAACTAGCATTCTTGGATGTATTGATCACTAGAACCGACACAGGAAAACTGGAAACTCAGGTATATAGGAAACCGACCCATTTGGATCAAATTCTCAACTACAATAGCAACAACCCCAGAGCTCACAAAATCAACTGCGTACACAATTTGTTCAAGAGGGCGAGGACACACTGCAGCACACTGGCAGCACGAAGAAATGAAGAGAAATATCTAAAGGATGTATTTCAGAAGAACGGCTACCCCATCAGCTTCATCAAAAAATACCAACCGCACGCAGCATTAGAACTCAAGTCAAGCACAAAAATCAACAAAAGGATCACCCTACCATATATACAAGGAATATCAGAAACAGCGACGAGACTGCTGAAAACCTTCGGAATAGGTGTGGCACACAAACCGACAAAATCACTACAATCAATCTTATGCAAACCAAAAGATGAAATAACAAAGGAAAACAAATCAAACATCATCTACAAAATAAATTGTGCCAACTGCGAAAAACACTACATCGGACAAAGCGGACGCCCCCTTCACCTTCGCCTACATGAACATCAATTAGCAGTCAAACGGCATGATATCTCTTCACTTATATCAATACACGTGGACAACTGCGGACACTCATTCGATTGGAAAAATGTGGAAATCTTAGACAGAGGAAACTCCAAAAACACCAGAGAATTTTTAGAAGCCTGGCACTCAGGTCAATTAGCAATCAACAAGCATATTGAAATCAATCCAATTTATCAACCAATCAGAAAAATCATGCACAAACATAAGAACAAAAATCAAAACAATGGGAGACACAACCAAAACAAAGAAGTAAACAACGACAAATTTAAGGTCAATAAGAACCAATCAACGTCGAGGTGCACAGAACAAGCTTTGAGACACATATGGAGAAATTCAAACACTTCACTTCTATCTGAAGTTTGTGCTGATGATGTCGTTCAGAAGAACGATGAAAGCTCCACGACCAAACCATCCAGCTCAGAGAACAAAACTCCACCAAAATCATCCACCTGGGCCACAAATCTTCTCCACTATAAAATAGTGTTCAATTAAAAAACGTGGTAAGGATGTTGGGTATGTATTTGGAGACTGTGCATTTGGCTCTGACCATATTTCGAGATCCTTGTTATTAAACATTTTCCCCAGCGTTGACATCGACAGTTAGATGAACAAGTGGCTGTATTATTACCTTCCTGGAAAGCAGCAGTGTACAGTCCTAGAAGAGAAGTGTTATACGTCTTAATTAAGTACAGCTGACTGTTGACAAACATTGAAAAATTTTAACACTATCCATGTATATATTACCGTCAAACGAAATGCAAGTGCGTTAGAATAAATAAATGGAAGCAAAAGGATAAACTCTGTACACTGCAATATTAAGCACGTACTATGCTTTGCACAAGTCGTAATAGTTGGCCTAATTTTTGATCAATATTCATGAACATGCTGGTAAGTGACAATTTTTACATCGACTTATTCCATGTTTTTGACTAAAACCAAACCTATTCGTTTATTTAAAATAGAACATTAGCGATTCCTGACGGATTTTCTTGCAAGGTGTTTCATCGTCACAATTATGGTACCATGAAGATATTTACGGGATACCATACTTACGGCACTTTCTCCAAAGTTTCTAAAAATCAGTCTGGACGTTAGTTCTAGTCTCACAACCACTTCCACAAATTATGAGTTACTTCTTTATACTGTAGTTTAAAGAAATAACATGAACAACAATTTTACATCAATATGAAAGTTGTAAATGGAAATCTGGTGTAAATGTTTGTTTATTATTCCATTGACTATGAGATAATTACTGAATAAATCCGTAAATCTGGAGCACGGTTCCGCTCTTGTATACCCTATTTATTTATTTATCTATTATTATCGTGATTCAAAATTATATATTTGGTACAATATAGAATTCACAACACACAGTACTTCAGCGAATTTTCTGTTGTGGACGATAGATCCCCAAAACTCAAATTTTGTAATTTACTTATCGATTAAATGTGCAGATAGGTCAATTGATGAACTATCGATTAAATGTACAAATAGGTCAATTGATGAACTATCGATTAAAGGTTCAAATAGCAGTCAATTGTTGATTAATGTTCAAAAATCTTCCATGACAATATCGATTGTAAATATTTGTATAAATACGCTTGACTTGTATGCTTGATCTGATGTCCCGACTTGTTATCTGCTGGTTGTCTGTAGAATACACTTCCTAAACCTTACCAAGACTTTTGATCGAGTTAGCAGAGTTGGGGACAACGGACCAGAATAGGCTATCGAGTCGCTGTATCATTGATCCGTTCGATAAGACGCTATCATGTAATCGCATTAAGCAATAACGAAGCATAACAATTGGCGACGGGGTAAAAAAAGAACAATCCAAAGTCAGCCTTCAGCATCCAGATTTGTCATCAGTGTCCTTCAGCAACATTGGTCATTAATCAAACAGTAATTTTCATTACCGGTGCTGAATAAAAAAAATGACTCTCCCTTCCGATCGAGTACAGCTGCTATTTGAAAGACAGTTGGAGTTTTTAGTCAAATTACGCACGCAGCTGTTAAATCACTCATGCTTTGGAGATGCAACGGAAGTGGATGGATTGATCTCTCAACTGCACACAGAGCTGGAAAATGATTGCAGCCCCAATGAATCCCCGATAAACCGTATTTCAAACGGTACAACAGTCACTCAAGATTCGCCCAGTGGTCCAGTCCTCTCCATTCCAGAAACATGCCCGGTAATGGACTCAAACTCCATTATCCCCAAAACAGCATGTGCAGACGGTGACTTATCCAGCTCACAAACACACTCCCTGGTAAATGCTCATAGAATTGTCGCAATAACCACCCATGAAACAGAAAACAAATCGAGCAGTACACTGAATACAACTGCTTCAAATGGTTCTCATCAGTCTGCGACAGATGTTTTTGACAAATCTTATTATCAAGATTCTCTTTTACCAGAAAATATGTCAGATGCATCAAATGATGATCAAAAACTTAATACAATTTTGATAGATGCTAATTACCTTGATGATTCATTATCTACAAATAAGATTCCAAATAAATTTGGTCACAATATTTCAGAAGAATTAAACTTCGAACACCTCATATCAAGTGTCGTTCAGCCTCAAGACTTAGTCACTTTCAGTCAATTCTCTGTTCAGTGCGATAAATATGTCTTAAATAAATTCAAGTTAATTATAACGTGGGCATATGAGGATCCAACACTGTTTCGTGGGGGAGGATGGACCTGGAAAACTTAAAATCCGGATATCAACTCCGGATCTTCTAAAAAGGGGAGGAGTGTTGGGGACGATAGATCCCCAAAACTCAAATTTTGTAATTTACTTATCGATTAAATGTGCAGATAGGTCAATTGATGAACTATCGATTAAATGTACAAATAGGTCAATTGATGAACTATCGATTAAATGTTCAAATAGCAGTCAATTGTTGATTAATGTTCAAAAATC